GGCAATATTGTATCGATGCAGGGACAACACTCTGGGAATAATATGAACAACGAACAATCTTCCTGTAAATAATCACGGTTGGACTTGGACCGACTGTAATCACTCAGAGAGCTCTACAAATTTACAAATAACTTGCATTTGATTTATAAATGCAGGCAGATTGCCAGCATGTTGCCATCAGTCAGATGTCAATGAGAAAAACTCGAGGGAACTGGACTCAGCTGGCTGCAGCTGGTTGCATTCCTATAGAACAGGAAGTGCAGATTAATAGTTAGATTTGAAATTCTGTCTGTGTTATCAGACACAGATTACATGTAATTTCCAAACTGACCTCATATAATTGCAGTGAGATAGCAGATTGACTCCGTCTTAACGCAACATTTATGGCAGGTTTCAGTAACTGTGTTGGTATGCTTGACAATTCCATTTTGTAGCAAAAATAAATAAATAACTGAAGTGGGATAACTTCTTATTGGCTAAAACAGACTGACAAAGTTTAACATTGAGGACATAATTTGCAGATGATTCTCTCCACTAGTTTTTATGATTTTTGTGTAACAATGCATGAAACTCCTGCAGGAGATATATCTTGTAAGGGGGTCACTAACTTCTTGGTTTCCTTTCTTTTAGGAGAGGAGGTGAAGAACCCGAAGAAGTCTGTCCCTATTAGCATTGTGGTCTCATTGCTTATATGTTTCCTGGCCTACTTTGCTGTGTCTGCTGCTCTCACCCTTATGATGCCCTACTACCTGCTAAGTGAAACGAGCCCACTGCCAATAGCCTTTGACTACATTGGATGGGGTCCTGCCAAATATGCCGTGGCTGTGGGTTCACTGTGTGCCCTGTCAACTAGGTATGACAGTATGGGTAGTGCATGCATGGATCAAGTGATGTTTAAAGCTCAAAGTCAGAAAGAAAAAGGTGCAAAAATAAATGTATCTTATTTGGAAAAAAATAGAAAAATGATAATGGATGTTCAAAAGTCCAAAATGTTGAAAAATAAATCTAGAAAAGTAGCTACTAAACAGTAGCTAACTCAAAAAGTTCATTAAAAATGTAACGTTAACGTAAAATAACTCAGCTAAGTAATAATTAACAGACAAGGTGTGGAGGACGTGTCAGGTTCCAGAGGCTGTGAATGATTCTTCCACTGCCTCTGATGTTTGCGAGGTGGATAAATTGTGAAATTGCCAGTACAATCTTCTGACTTCAGTCATCATAGCAGATTAAGCTGTTAAAAAGAAGCCATATGTCAAATCAGTTGGTTTAGTTAGAGTGACCTTTTGACACTGATTTGTGAAATGACTAATTTAGATTACAAATTAATCGGACACTGCATTCATTTTGTTGTTTGTCTTTCCAGTCTGCTAGGTTCCATGTTCCCGATGCCTCGAGTACTTTTTGCCATGGCGAGAGACGGGCTGCTTTTCAAACCTTTGTCCAAAGTCACCTCCAGAGGCAGTCCAGCAATAGCTACTATATCATCTGGCATTGTGGCAGGTACAGGTATACACTTTATAAATAAAAGTACTGTAAATATAATAGAAGTAATAAACCTAAAACAAAAAATAGTACATGTAATAAAATACTTTTGAATGTGTCCAGTTATAACTCTTATTTTAATGATGCTTACAGATGCTTACACAGAGGTACTGTGCCCCACCTTGTGTGGGTATCTATCTTAATTGCCCCTTGGGGATAAATAAAGTCTCTCTGACTCTCTCTCTTAATCTATGAATTCAGCTCTTTTTATTGTCATTGCAATATGCATTTGGAATCCAGCCATGCAGTCTGCCTGTACAATCGCGTGTGAACATTTCTCTAAAGAGCTTACTGGACTTAAGTGGTATGCTGTGGTACTGTAATAGGATACCACCATAGAAAAAGTAACCAACACTGATGACTCCAACCTCTTCTGGTATTAACATCAGCAGAAAAACTGTGTGCCAGGAGCTTCATGATGTAGGTTTCTATAGCTGAGCAGAGCAACTCCCGTAGGTGTCATGTGTATAATATTTTGTACTTATGCTAATGCTGTTCTGCATGATCCACAGAGGTCGAGGTTTATGGGCTAGAAATAACATTTAATTCCATTTTTCTCCCTGGCTTTAGCCATCATGGCTCTACTGTTTGATCTGAATGCCTTGGTGGAACTGATGTCCATTGGTACTCTGTTTGCTTACACACTCGTGGCAGTATGCATCCTGATACTGAGGTACATTTATCTGTTAACACCCTGCAGCTATGTATTCACTCTGCTGTGCAAATCGACTGATTTTTTGTGGTCATTGTAGGTACCAGGTGGGTCCATCTGAAGACACAGAACTTAAGATCACAGAATCAAAGAAAAAGTTTAGCTTCTTCAAACCTCCAAAAACACCCAACTCTTCCACAGCACGAACAGTCACGCTCTTGACCATATTTTCTAGTAAGTAAGGAAAACATCACTGAGGCATCTTTACTGATGCTTCTGTAGCACTGAAGTTCTTTTCTTGACCAGCAACAGGTTCATGACGGGCTTTCTCGCCTCTAATCTTTCTTTCTCGTCTTTTACTTTCCCACTGCAGTTCTGTGCATTCTTGCACTGTGCATTACTCTGAGCCAAGGCATGGAAGCTCTTGCCAACACTCAAGCATGGAGCATCGTGCTTGTCTGTATCTTTGGAGTGCTCCTGCTGGTCAACTTGTTCCTCATCTGGAGACACCCAGAGAATCCCACAAAGGCATCGTTCATGGTAAGAAGTGGTTCAAGTAATTTCTTGTAATCACCAAGTAGGAATCTCACATCTCTGCATTTTCTCCTTCTTCAGGTACCTTTAATCCCTCTTCTGCCCTTACTGAGTACTTTAATCAATGTCTACCTGATGGTGCAGTTAGGCGGTCAAACATGGATCCGATATGCTGTCTGGATGCTAATAGGTATGATGGGTATATTTTTGTTTGAGAGGATTAAAGGGCTGCTATCTAGCTGGGTGACCCTCACTCTTCTCTTTTCTTCTCTTCTGCAGGGTTACTTATCTATTTTATCTATGGAATGCGTAACAGCGTCCAGAGGAAGCGACTCATGACCGACCACGCAGAGATCGAAACAGTCAGCGGCAAAACAGACAAGGATAGTATGAAAGAAGAGAAATTCTGAGCTCAATCGGGGTGAAGACAGATAAACTGAGATGTTACAGTGAGCGACTTGCTTTAACTTATAACCACTGCTTGAGATGCACCGGTGCTGCTGCCCTTCAGCAGTCTTCAATCTACGACAGCACCGAAGCAAATGGCCTGATAACTTGTTAACTTGACGGTTTATTACATCCTAACGCAGTCTGTTTGTTATCTAAATGGTCCAAAATGAAAAACTCCCTAAGATATATTTGGACCGAGAAGATCTTCACTTATCACTGATTTTCACATTGTTGTTAAGGATATTTATCTGTATATCTTGTCGTATTAGTGAGCCTGTTCCAAAGAAAAAATATTCTGTAGATTATTTGCTTTTATAATTCTGAAATAACAGGTTTACACTTTTCTTATCAAGTGCAAAATGTAAATTATTTTTATTTCAGTTTTACATTATCTTAATTTTATTTTAATATATTTTTTTAAATGTGCAGAATTTGACTGAAGACCTTATATTTTACAGAGCTGATACAGAAAACCTTTTATGGGATTTCATCTTCCATTTGTAAATATGGAAACTGCATGTGATTGTTAACTAAACGACTGCCACTGTACATTTGAATTAAAAATTTAATGATTCGCTTTTGTAAAACACTTAAATATGGAGTTACCTTGTTGCAGTCTGTGTCGATAAAGAGGTAAAAATAAAGGACTACTATAAGTTCATTCCCACTGCAGACGTGCACAAAGAAGCAGATATGGCTCACTATTTAGAGTCGACTGAGAACAAAAGGACCTTTGAAAAGAAGCTTATAGCGGTCATGTTCAAAATCACAGCTTAGCTGGCCACTCACAAGGAAAGGTTTACATTGTTTCCACTGCATTCGACATCTCAAAAATGTACTTTAAGTAATGTGTGAATATTTTAGGTGCAAATCTTTCAGGCATATTTAAAAAAAACCAACATATTAATCTAGAGCTAACTGAGACAAAACTTTTATTTACCCATAAAATACAGTAATGAAGGACATAAAGTGTATTAAACACCAAATGCTCCTTTTCCAGGCAGTGTTTCTGAGGTTCAGACTCATGCTGCTAGTACACTTACAGTCCGGCAGCTAAATAAACAGGCTGTGCCATTCCAGATTGGAGGGGCCTCATTCTCTGGACCCTCATTGGTTCGGACAGGCTTGAAAGCCTCCATTGAGCCACACTGAAGGAATTTAGGGTACTAATGCCACTCCGAGGAAAAGGAATTTGCGTGACTCTAATAAACAGCAGACTGCTCACTTTGCAAGCTTTGCCCTCCTCCTTCCTTCTTTTTCTTCTTCTCTCCTTTTCATTTCTGTTGTATATTTCTCTGGGTTGAACTCCATGAACTAACAATCAGCTCATCAGCCATGCCTTTGGCGAACATGTCTGGGTCAAAGTGGAGGCTGGTACTCATTGCTCTCCTTACTTGTGCCTTAATCTTCGAGTTGGGTAAGTGACATTAGTCCCTTGTCATCCAATTCGGTGAACGTGATATTCATAGATTTGGTGAGGAGGGCAATTTTCTTTCTGTCTTTTGCACAATGTGGCTTATTCTAGAAGCAAAAATGAACTTTTTTTTCTCACTTGTAGCAGCCTTGTCTTTGTTTGTAAAATATTCTGAAACATGTGCTCTGCGTACTGTGTATAATATTGCCAAAAAGATGCCCAAGAGCAGAAGGCTGTTCCGGGAAGGACACCAAAGCCAAGGAAACCAAAGCATGAGAAATCAACAAACAAAGGGCCCAGAACGATAACAGTCAAACCGAAGGTCAAAGCTGCACGTGCAGAGCAGACCCTCCTCACGCAGGTATTACGTTTGTTATAAATTAACTTTTTGATTTTGCAAAGTTCACGACTAAAGTACATGTCTGTGTCTGACTAATAAAGGTGTTAAACAAAGGGAAGTTTAAGAAGGTGGGTGAGACCATAAATGTGCAAACAGGAGATACTCTGGAGCTGAGGTGCAGGGGCAAACCTGTGCAGTGGAGCGTCCCCCCATACCTGGAGGAGGATAATGATGGGAGGCTCAGGTAACTTTTCATGTCTACAGATCTTTACTCATAAAGTGCAGTATAAGCTTGAGTAAGTAAGGAAGTAAATGTGTTCTTTCGCTCCTTTTTGCTCTGGCTGTGCAGAATTGTCCAGTATGAGCGATATGGGGTTCTGACGTTGGTCAACACCACTGGTGCAGACACGGGGGAGTACACATGCTACCCAATGTACTGTGAAGACACTGACTGCAGGAAGGAATACAGCAAAGCTGTTAAAGTCTTCGTCTTTTTTCCAGGTGTGATTAATACATTTTATTGATGCTTAGGCTTGCATTTCTCTGAACTGCAGACTTGACAGGAATCTTTTTTACATTCTAATAATCTTATCATAAATCTGCCATATCTCCTCTCTGTACGGACCAGATCCACAAGAACTATTTGTTCCATTGTCTGACTATTACAAGGTGATTCAGCTGAGGAGCAACTGGCCTACAGTCCTACCCTGTCAGGTGACGTCACCTGAGGCTAAAGTAACTCTGCACCGTGAGTACCCACCTGTGGAGCTGGACGTGGACAGGAGGGAGATCTCCTTTGATGTCAAGAAGGGCTTCACAATCCATCGACCTCGGCCATATCATGCCGGAGCTTTGTACTGTGTTGCCAGTCTGGGAAACCTGCGGCAGAGCTCTATGAAGTACATGCTCATCTATGTTAACTGTGAGTTCACGTTTTCAAAATTTTAGAAATTTTTTCAGAATTTTAGCATTTATGGGTTGTTTTTTTTTTATTGTAAATCAATGAAAACTTTTCAAAATTAAGGATGAAAATTACCCTTAATTACAGGATTACTGGTGACGGCACAACATTTTACTTACTAATACATCACATTTGCTCTCAGATCCTAGGGCTCCTCCCGCTCCAGTGATCCAAGCGTCACCGAGCACAGTGACTGTGGGGGAGAATCTACGTGTCACCTGCTCTGCGATGGGAGAACGAGACGTGGCCATAGAGTTCACCTGGGATTACCCAGGACAAGAGGTCAGACACTCGTGGAAACAGGGCTTGTATGCTTTAATACAAACTTAGCTTAGTTCTGTATGGCTTTTGTATTAATTCTAATAAGCTTTCTTTCTGAAATAGTATGAACATGAATTCTAGGTTGTGAACTGAAATATTACTCAAAAAAAGTCCTGCAGTTGGCAAATATCTTCAGTCGGTTTAGCTTGCGTTGCCTTTTTAGCGAGTTTATTATTAGTCAAAACGTATTCAACCTATGGACTGCCTGAACCTTATCCCCTTTAAACAGGAATATAATAGATATGTCTTTATTGGTGAGCCATGAGGAAATAAACTGCAACATGATAACTCATTGTAATGTTTACTCCTGTGCTGTGCTGTGTGTGTGTGTGTGTGTGTGTGTGTGTGTGTGTGTGTGTGTGTGTGTGTGTGTGTGTGTGTTCCTATGCTTGGTCCAGATTGGGAGACCTCCATACACACAGGAGAGCGTTATTCCGGTCAGTGGAGGAACAGCTCAGCAGCAGTCTCAGTCTGTGCTCCTCGTGGATGAAGTTAGAGACGTGGACCAAGGAACGTACACCTGCACTGCTCAGAACATGCAAGGAGCCAAATCAGCATCCACAACCATTAAAGTGGTCCCTAAAGCCAAACCCAAGAAACCATAAGTTGGATGACATTACAGACAGAAAGTCGTGGTGAGAGATCACAGCTGGGATTTGACCCTGTCTGAGCATTAAATGTTTTTTCTTCTTTTTAAAGACTATATGATCACAACAAAACATTATGCTCTCCAAACTGTATTGCTCAAGAAGAGAAATGTGTTTGTTTAGGTAAATGCTTGTATATTAAACTTTTATTTCCATACACTCACAAGCCTGACAGTCGTGTCATTGTGAAAGGTCCTCCCAAAGGTAAACGCAGGATAAGAGGGGGGAAAAGGTGATTTAAGTGACTTCGAATGTGGTCTGAGTATTTCAGAAACTGCTGATCTACTGGGATTTTCCTGCACGACCATCTCTAGAAAAAGATAAAATATCTCAAATTTCTCTGGAGGAAAAAATGTCTTATTGGCGATATAGGGGAATGGTCAGACTGCTTTAAGCTGGGAAGGCAACAGTAATTCAAATATTCGCGTGTTAAACCCAAAGTATGCAGATGAGCATATCTGAAGGTACAACACTTCAGAACTCGAAGCGCATGGACTACAGCAGCAGAAGACCACGCTGGGTGTGGCTAATGTCAGCTGAGAACAGGAAACTGAGGCTAAACTGCTCAATAGAAGGTTAGGAGAAGGTTAACTGCCCTGATAAATTTTGATTTCTGGTGGCATAAACAGCATGAAAGCATGGATCCATCCCGCCTTGAATTAACAGTTCAAGCTGGCAGTGATTTAATGGTATGTGGGATGTTTTCTAGTAGCAACTGAGCATAGTCTACCTGAGTAATGTTGCTGACCATATCTATTCCTCTTTCCCTCTATGACCATTGACCTTATCATGAAGCTTGTAAATGAGTTCACTGTACTCAAACGGCCTCTGCAGTCACAATCAAACAGAGCACCTTTGAGATGTGGCAGAACAGAGGATTCACGTCGTGGCTGTGCAGCAACAACCCAGTACTATCTAGGTTTCCCTTATAAACTGGTGTATTGTGATGTGCTGTCACCCTGTGCACCTCACTTCTCACTAGCTTGGATTGGCTTCCAGCTCTCCTTGTTGAATTACACAAGTAGAAGAAGATGGATGGATGTTGTGATAAATTAACAAGCACTTCAGAGATAAAAAGTGGAAACTGGCCCTCACTATGACTTCCTTTTCTACCCATTTTGTTCCCCATTAACCCCAAAGTATTATTCATGTGTGTACAATAAAGTTGTAGATAACAGTTTTATTATTGCACAGAGTCCCACAGAAAAGTCAACACTCCAGTGTTTTAGCGATACCACATGAGAGGTTAGTTTCTGGTTAGACTTGAATCTACGGAGCCCCTCTGATGACATGGTCCAAAAAATAAATAAATTGTGGCCACAAAATACTACTTCGAGGGCACGAAATAGGTATAACGTGCGCACGAAATGCTAATTTGTGGCCACGAAATAGATAACGTGCGCACATCTTATTGATAGAATTCCTGGACAGCTGCGTAGAGACACAAGCATAAAAGTAGGCTAAATACACCATGGACAGAGACAGTCTGATTGAGTTTTATTTCAGGCTGGGAATGAGCTACAAATGCATTTTGAAAAGCCTGGCAATGCAAGGAACCATCATTACGGAGAGACATTTAAACCGGATATTGAGAGCCAAGTCGCTTTACAGACGTAAGTACGACCTGGACGCCGGGATAGATTTTATTGTGAACCAACTGCAAGGGCCTGGGAAGGATCACGGTTATCGGTGGATGTTTACAAAGTGCAAACAACACGGCATTGTGATCAAGAAAGAAGACGTCAGGATCCTCATCTCTTTACTGGACCCAGTAGGTTCCCAGGTTCGCCAGACCAGACGTCTCAGAAGGAGGCAATATTTTGCTCAGGGGCCTAACTTTGTGTGGCACATAGACTCTTATGACAAACTAAAGCCATATGGGATATGTATTAATGGATGCATCGACGGTTTCTCACGCAACATCATTTGGCTGCGGGCCGCACACACTAACAGTGACCCAAAGGTTATCGGAGGTTACTTTGTGGAAGCAGTGGAGAGTCGTGGGGGTTTCCCTGTTGTAATAGTAATTTTACAATGTATGTTGAAGAGATATTACTGCCCTCTGTTGGTGTGTCTGTGCATTACAAGCAATAAAAGGTGTTCGTTAAAAACATCAGGTTATGGGCCCAGAGGTCGCCAAGGGAAGCTGCTAACACGTTTTCTTTTGGGAGTCATAAACAGAATTGTGGGATTCACAATGGAAGATAGACTGTTTATTGACAAGCTGAGCGGACCGGAGAATTGGGCAACGTGGAAATTTCAACTGGAGCACCTGTTGAAGGCAAAAGGACTGTGGGGTATGGTACAGGAGACGGAGCAGTTAGCTGCGGATGCTAATGCCCAAGCGCGAGCTGAATTTGAACGGAAGAAAGAAAAGGCATTTTCAGTGCTGGTACTGAATGTAAGTACACCCCAATTGTACTTGATAACAAACTGTAAGACCCCCAAAGAAGCATGGGAGATGCTAAAAGCACAGTTTGAAAGAGATACTGTTGCTAACAAGCTATTTCTGAAGAAGAAGTACTTCCGGTGTGAAATGAAGGAAGGAGAACATCTCAATGATCATTTAAAGAGGATGAAGGAACTTACTGATCAGCTAGGGGCAATAGGTTCTGTAATTGAAGAGGAAGATCAAATTGTCACCCTTCTAGGTAGTTTGCCACCCAGCTATGCAACTGTTGTTACTGCTTTGGAGACAAAGATGGACAGTCTGACACTACAGTTTGTTCAACAAGCCTTGATAAATGCACCTCC